TTTTTTTTTTTTTTTTTTTTTTTTGAAGTTTGTAAAAAAGTTTTAATAATATTAATAAAACTTTTTTGAAAACTTATTTTTTTATATTTTTTAGTCAAATATAAAGTACAAGCGTAAGGATCTTGGGCCCGATCAATTGGGCTTAGACCCAATATTTAGGTTATTTTCAAATTGGTCCTTGTTGAGTTACTAATTTACATATTCAGTTGGATGGGTCAAATTTTTAAATATGAATAAGTTGAGTCCCATATATCAAACATCTGGGTAACATGTTTGCATGGTCAATTAGTTTCTTTTTTCAAACTTTAACAAAAATTTAAATAATTAAATATTTAATATAGACCAAACTATATAATAAAATTTTATTATATGAAAATATAGTTTGTTGGGTTATATTTTTTTATAGCCCATACTTTGGTCTTTCTCACCTACTATGCGACCAAATGTATGTTAGGTAACATATCAATTCAAATAAAAATGGGACATAAAATATATTTTTTAACGATATTACAATTTGAACATAGCTCAATTTATTTGAATGTTTTATTATATATACGACGAAAGATTTTTATATAATTTAAAATCAATTTTTGAATCAATTTTGATTAATAAAATTAAACTAAATAATTAAAAACTCGAGAATAATTACTCGAAATGTTGGAGATAATATTTAGTTGGTCTTTAATTCTTGTATTCTCGTGTTTAAAAAATAGTGTAATTTTTAGAAAATAAATTAAATTCTTCCATTAATAATTATTTTTTAAAATTAATATTAACATCATGTTAAAACATGTTTTTTATTTTTATATTCAATCAAATTTAAATATTCTAATAAAAGAAATTTCTCTCTTAATATTATTTAAAATCAATGAGTATTTTTTTATTTCTATTATTAAGGGATAGTTTTGTAAATTGGAGCACGCAAAGGAATTTCTCGAGTAAGCTAGAAAAAACCCGGAAAAGTCGAGAGATCCACGGAGGATTAACTTGTAAAACTTAGTTGATCTTAAAAAAAGATGAAACGAAGTCCTATACTAATCTCCCCTTAAATGCATGTCGAGTTTGTCAAAATCGAGAATTTTCACTATTTGTTTCAATTCTATATTTTTGTTATTTAATTTACTTATGTCACTTTGATCCCATCAGATCTCACTGTTGGATGATGAAAGTCCCACATCGGTTAATTTAGGGAATGGTCATGGGTTTATAATCTAAGAATACACTCTCTATTGGTATGAGGCCTTTTGGGAAGCCCAAAGCAAAGCCATGAGAGCTTATGCTCAAAGTGGACAATATCATACCATTGTGGAGAGTCGTGTTCGTCTAACATGGTATCAGAGCCATGCCCTAAACTTAGCCGTGTCAATAGATTGGCAAATCCTTAAATGTCGAACAAAGGACTCCAAAAGGAGTCAAGCCTCCTCGAAGGTACGAAGGCAGTCAAAAATGACTAAGACTCCAAAGGAGTCGAGTCTCGATTAAGGGGAGGCGTGGTTTGTTCGAGGGGAGGTGTTGGATATCATACCATTGTGGAGAGTCGTGTTCGTCTAACACTCACGAGACCGAGTGAAGGGAGGAAGAAAAGGATAAGCGACTCGGGAGGATAAGTGACATTGCCCTTGGTTGTTACCTTATTTATATCTAAAAATTATAATAAAATGATTTAGTTTTGTCTTTTAATAATTAAAATATGTCTCACATGATATTATAAATTAGTAATTATACAAAATTTATAAATTAATTAATAATAATTTATATAATGTTTAATTTCTTGGACTATAATATAACATTTTTAATTTTTTAATTTTATATTTAATATGTTTAATTATTCGAGACCTTTAAAAAAATTTAAATTTATTAAACACAAAATTTGAGGAATTTAAATTTTTGAATTTTTAATGATGCATATATTTTATGTGTTGGTTAATAAATTCACAAGTTTGTAATATCGATAAATTTATGGTATTAACTTCACTCATTTAACGTTTATAGTTCATCAAACATTCATTGTAAGCGTTTAATTTAGAGTCTTTCGTAAAATTTTATGATATATGAAATGACTAAAATACTTTAACGATGTTGGTCATCGACGATCACTGTGTAATCACCTGATGACGACAATCTATAACGACAACAATTAACGGTCGTCAATGACAATTTTTTCCAATTGATAATCGTTTCTCACAATCAACAATTTCGAGTGATCGACTCCACCTCTAACAACTGTTTCAGTGATAATCTATAATAACCATTTGTAGTAACTCTAGTTCTGGTCGGTCAAGTCGTATATAACCAAACTTCCTTCCGGTTCAGGATTGAATGAATAAGGGAAATAGGTTCAGAGAGAAGCAAGGAGGTCAAACTCTTTCAAATATACAGGTGGGTCTTGCAGTCAAGCTCCCTTCTGCCTTTGCATTCGTCTGGCCCGAGGAAACCTTTGCATTAAGTCTTTTCTTTTAGTTTGCCGTATACCTATCTTCAATCGGGATGTTTTTTTTTTTTTTTTTAAGAAACATTCAAATTATAAGGAGAAATTAGGAGAGTAGGAAAAAATGGAAACAACAAGACAAAGAAATTGATGGGTTGTGTCAACCGTGTGTTACCGACATGCACTTGGGTTGACCCAAACGTCGCCTTTCGCGTTTGGCCCACCAAGATTGGAAGCCGCCGATTTGGACTATCTCATCTCCACCCAATTTTTGGGTTGAAATCCGAGTAGAAAAATGATACATTAATGAACTGAGACCACATCTGAATGACAAAGATTCTTAGGATAGTTAAGAAAGATTTAAAAAGAATTGAAAGATACTACCTATGCTAACACGTACACCTTCATTTTCAGTGACTCAATCATAGGAACTCAATGGTTAAACGTGCTTTACTTAGAGTAATTCTATGTTGGTGATCTTATACAAATTTTTCTGTGATACATATGAGTGAAAACAAAACATGTTGGAACGATTCGTGTTGGTCTATGGAGATAGTCTTCACGGTTAAAAACGAGAAATAAGTAACGTGACCATGTCGCAAAGGATACAACGAAGTGTCAGGGTCATTAGGTGTCGTATTCATACAACTCGACAAAACTAGATTTATAATAATTATAAATGTAGCTAATATTAGTATTTACTTATGTATATTTTAGATTAAAAAAAATTAGATTTAATGTTTAAAATTTAAGAAAATTTGAAGAAATAAATATGGATATATAAAAAAGAAACAAGAACAAAAACCCGGTCAACTGTTCGTTGTTGTTGCTGGTCGAGTCTCGTACTTTAGCTTCATTGAAGATTTCTTCGGAAAAGCGCCAAATGCCCACAAATGCACCACATCGACAAATCCAACGCCACGGCCACTGAAATCAATGGCGAAAACAAGAACAAACGCCGCCATCTCCCTTCACTTTTCACCTCCAAACTGAACAATGAAGCCGCTGCCGCCGCCATGACCAAGCTATGCCGGAGACTCGTCCGGTGGAGGCTCATCGAACGGATCTCCTTTGTCCGTCACTTCTTCCGCTTCATCTGGGATAGGGTTTTCGCTTGTTCTTCCGCAAAAACCCCCAAAAAATATCGCCGCTTCTCCCACCGGTCCCCACCGGCTGCCGCGGATGGTGGATCGTCGCCGGAGTATCCGACGACTAGCGGCGGGTTTGATTCCGATTCTGATTTCGATTCCGCGGAGTTGGTTCCTCTCAAGATTAGCCTCTTGGGGGATTGCCAGATTGGGAAAACAAGCTTCGTGGTAAACTTTTCTTTCTAATTTCTAACTTCCCCTGCTGTTTTTTTTCTCTCTCTTTTTCTAATCCTTTTGTTTGTTTGTTCTTTTAATTTTGATTAGGTCAAGTATGTGGGCGATGAACAGGAGAGAAATAGCTTACAGATGAGCGGAATAAACCTAATGAACAAAACACTCAATATCCAAAATGCTCTGATTTCGTTCAGTATTTGGGATGTTAAAGGTAAATTTAAACTTCCCCGGGTTCTTGAAGATTTCTGAAGAAAAATTTCTAATACGAGTAGTTCGATGAAGGTGATAGCAGTTCACAAGATCAACTTCCGTTGGCCTGCAAAGATGCTGTGGCGATCTTGTTCATGTTCGATCTTACAAGTCGTCGAACTCTAAACAGGTCTATTCCGTTCAAAATCTTGTTGTTCTTGCTTGAAATGGGAAATTTGAGTTCATTTTTGGTTCGATTTTGTGTTTGATCTTTGCAGTATTGTTGATTGGTATACCGAAGCGAGGAAATGGAACCAGGTAAAGTATTTGATTCCATTTTTAGCCATTGATTTCTTTCCTTCTACTGAATTCTGTCATTAAGATGCTTTTATTGCTAATAATGAGCACCAAGTGTTTGATAAAAGTCCTGTGAGAATTTATGAGAAAGGGATGTGAGGCTTTTCCTTTAGCTTTTGAACTTGTGAACCTCTGAATGATGACTTCTTTTTCACCTAACTTGTTTGTGAAGAAAATGGTTTGGGATTACTTGTTAGGAGATGTTTCGGATATCGTTCGCTTTCTATATTTGGATTGTAAAGAGAAACTGGTCATAAATTCTGAGTTCGTCTACGTTGAGCTCTTGAGTTTGTTTATACGTCTATGTTGTTCTTCAGTTCGGTTTAAGAATCGAAGCTTATGTTCTGTATGTGAGTTTGTTAATCATAGGCTACATGAACCATACTTCATAAACTTGAGACTTGTTCAACTCGTGAAATGCAACAGCCCAACTCACCGCTAACAAATATTGTCCTGCTGGGTTTTCCCTTCCGGGGTTCCCTTCAAGGTTTTAAAATGCGTCTACTACCATTCCCCTCTCCAACCAATGTGGTATCTCACAATCCACCACTCTTGGAGGCCCTGCGTATTCGCTAGCACACCGCTCAGTGTCTGGCTCTGATACCATTTGTAATAGCCCAAGCCCACCATTAGCAAATGTTGTCGTCTTTGGACTTTCCCCTCCGAGCTTCCTCTCGAGGTTTTAGAACGCGTTTGCTAGGAAGAAGTTTTCACACCTTTATTAGGAATGTTTTATTCTCCTCTCCAACCGACGTGAGATTTCACATGAAACCTCTTATAAGTCAATTCATAAGACATGTTTTTCAAAGCCAACTACCAAACAGCCTCGAGTAATTCATGGGTCGACTCTTGTTTATTGCAGACAGCCATTCCCATCCTTGTAGGAACCAAATTTGATGACTTTGTTAGACTTCCTCCAGATTTGCAGTGGACAATTGTGAGTCAGGTAAATCCTAATCAATCTTCTGTGTCTTTTTGTTTGTTCATCAAACTCTTCTCTGATTGTTGATTTTGTGTTCATAGGCAAGAGCTTATGCACGAGTCATGAAGGCTACACTGTTCTTCTCCAGCTCCGTTCACAACATCAATGTCAATAAGATCTTCAAGTTCATCGCTGCCAAGCTCTTCGACATTCCATGGTCTGTCGAGCGGAATCTCACCATTGGAGAGCCAATCGTTGACTTCTAATTTTCGTTACATTCGACCTGATTTCGATGTACATACGATACGACAGAATCAATCCGACTTTCTTTTTACTCAATGACAGAGCACATTTGCTTGCGTTGAAGGGATGATATGAAAAGCCAGCACTAAAAGATTCTGGTGGCGCAAACTATTCTTAACTTTTGGGAGACACAATCCAAGAAGGTAGCGACACAACTGTCATGTCCAACTTCCATGTGATTCGGTGTCTTGGAAGTTAGCATATGTTTTTTTTTTTTTTTTCCTTCTCGAAGCTAACCCGAAAGCGAACGATATTTGATGACATTTAGTTAGTTGGGTCTGTATAGATTCATTATGAGATTGAACTCGAGGTATTTTTAAGGTATAAATTTGCTAAAACTATAGGTTACATTAGGAGGTCACGACCTTCGTGTGAACTCGAGCTTTTATCTTTGAATGAGGGATGGGGTGTTACTACGATAGTCATTCATATATGAATTATAAATTTAGTTCGTAAGATTTGGCAGATTTATGAGGGGTTGGATATTTATGAGTGGTGTACATCCAACCCGACAATTCATACCATGGCCATGGCCATTTATAAGTAAGAAATAATAAAAAAGAAATTATTGGGCTTAAAGATGTCGGCCCAAAAAACGAAAGTGGCAGAAGCCCAAGGTTTCTGGTCCAAACAACAAAACCAAGTCTCAAGATATCGCCTAAACCCTCGCCGTTCTGATTTTCCCGCGATTGGACATTTTGCTATGACGACCCAAGTCTTAACGTGGAGCCACTGAACCATCAAGGACTCGTTGCTGCTGTTTCGCTCTCATTCTTATTTCTCCGCCATTCAGCCGGTAAGCTAACTGTTTTTCGCTCTTTTCCGGCCACAATTTTGCAGTGGTATTCTGTTCATTGTTATTAGGAATAACTGAGCTCTTCTATTGGACTACAGAGTTGAGAAATGTTGCTGTTCTGTAAAGGAATGGAGGTGTTGGAAATCGTTGCGAACATCTAGGATGAATGTGAGGATTATTTATTTGGATTTAGTTGCGCACATGAGAAATTTGTTTTGTGAATGGTCTGTCGTGTTTGTTCAAGGCATGTTGTCTATGATCGTGTGTTCGATGTTTCGATCATGTTTATTTGTTCAGATGTTCCGTTCATGTTTGTTCAGGACGTATTATTTATGGTTGCATGCCTCTTCTAAATTCCTTTTACTTGCTTTCTTGTTAGATAGACTTTTATTATTATTGTTGTATCAATACGAGAGTGTACTACTAGTCACCAAAATCATGTCTACACCTATTAGGGCTAAATGTCTCAAAATATACTATAGGAGAAATGATTAGTTGTCAATTCTTCTTATCTCGATCGTATGCTATCAAAGTTGTGGTTGTTTCTATTTCGCTTTTAGCATATAACATTGATTTGTTTCAAATTGTTTTCAACGCATTTCTTCGCTCACGTTTTATAGAACGTTTCTTTCAAATATGATCCAGGCTCGATCATACGTCAAGGTTGTCCTCAAAGTCCGACTTCCATATAGTTGACTTGTTCGTTGGGTTAGAACAAGTCGTGCACAATCGTTGTCCCACTACCACAAGAGTACAATTGTGACAAGTGGTATCAGAGTCGAGTTAGCTCCGTGAATCTTAGTACACAAACATGTCCACTGCAAAACAATTGGGCAAGTCCCAGGCTGACCGATTGGTAAAGATTGAAGATCAATTACTCTACTCGAATGAAGTTCTTGATAGAATGAAGCTTTTGGAGTCTTGCATGAATGAGATTGCTATTAAAGCCGACAAGATCAACGAGATGACAGGCCGCCTTGAAGCAATGTCTGTCCGAGAATTAATGATTAGGGTCGAGACCCTAGAAGAAAAGGCCGCAACTGTTGGTGGTTTCGAGTATGGGGATAGCTCGACAGGCTTTGTTGCCCGAATGGAAGAACGCATCGAGGACTTAAAAGATAATCAACAAACAATTGTTCAGATGGTCTCAGAAATGTCTAAAGGTTTGAGAGCAACCATTGGAGTGGTCAAAGCTGAAGTGGCGGATTTGAACACCAAACTAAACCTCACCACGAGAGCAGTAGGGAACCAAACCCCAGTTGGGGGTGTAATCCAATACATCAAGCTAAAAGTCCCAGAGCCCAAGCCCTTTTGTGGGGATCGAGATGCCAAGGCTTTAGAGAACTTTATCTTTGACTTCGAACAATACTTTCGAGCTACAAATACCGTGGCAGAAGAAATGAAGGTCACAGTGGCAACGATGTATCTAGACGACTATGCAAAGTTGTGGTGGAGATCCAAGTACATGGACATTCAAGATGGTCGATGTACTGTGGACACTTGGGAGAGCTTAAAACAAGAACTTCGCTCTAAGTTCATCCCACACAATATCGAGATAATTGCAAGAAGGAAATTAAGGGAGCTGAGGCATACTGATAATATTCTACACTACGTTAAGCAGTTTTCTGAGATTATGTTAGATATTCATGATATGTCTGAAACAGACAAGGTCTTCAATTTTATTAATGGGCTGAAGCCGTGGGCGAAAACCAAGCTCTACGAACAAAGAGTTCAAGACCTTTCCACCGCCTATGTTACAGCCGAACATCTATTTGATCTTAGATCGATCAATCCCCATCCATAAGGAGGAACTAGACTTCCACAAGTGGAGGTAATAACACGTCGGGAAAGTAAGGAGAAGTGATAGAATGACGCTTTTATGTTCGGTATGACTTTTTGATAAGTTACTTCATTCCGTACTTCCATGGATTCATCTTTTGGTGTGATGTAGTGCCAGCAAACTCCTATTTATGGTCTATCATACATATCTTAATGTTCTAATGTGTTCCCTTTGTGATTCCCTGAGATTATATCGCTGAATAATTCTCAACATACTTGATTATCTTTGCTATTTGAATGAGTAAGCTGAAAAAGAAGAGTTGCAGACATTCCTACTCACCATCCGCCCTGCAGCAACCAAGATGCTGTCATCCACTTCAGGTAATCTGTCGTTTACTTGCACGGTCATAATGCAACTAATCGTTAATTTTCTTATCCAGTTATATGCTATCAATATCATTGTTGTTTCTTATTTGTTTGTTATTCTATGACATTGCTTTCAAAACGTTTTTCAAAATCTCGGTCCCTTTTTGAAGACTTTTAAAAAAAATGTTGTTCATATCAACGATGGCTCGAGTTTGAGTTGGTTAACTTACTAGTTAGTGAGAGGAAGTGGTACACAATTGCTTTCTGAAGTCCCGTGAAAGTGCAATTGTGATACCATGCTACCCAAATGGTTTTCTTCTCTTTACGGGTGAAATTACTCTTGGGATGGTATTTCTTGCTTTGGTCAAGCTTCCCCTCTATAGGGCCATGTCGTGTTCACTTCGTATCAACGTATCTAAGATTTAATGTTCCATGAGTTTCTTAGGTAATCAAATGTAGTATAGTTGGATTATTCATGCCCGAAAAACTTAAGCTTAGGGTTAGGCCATTTGTGGGATTTGACATCCCATGCTTTTATCATTCATACTTGAAACAATCTGAGACGGAATTGGTTCGATATCGGTTAGTTGATGTCTAATTAGTTTCTTCCCAAATAGATGGGACATTATGACCTCTTACAAACCAACCATTTGGTTTGTTATAACTCGTAAAATTGCTGAGACTACCCAAAGAATGAATCTTATCCAAATAACAATTTTGTTAGGCTAAATTCAAATGGTTTTTGGCTTAGACTATTCAAATAGTTTGGATATAGTTTCGATTTTGTTTCCAATTTCGACCTTTTCTCTAATTTGGTTCTTATAAATCTGTTTTTTTGCTTAATTTCAAAAAACTTTACGATAAAGGCTTGGACTCGAGCATTGGGTACGAGAACCCGTTATTCCATTCTTTATGTAAACTCGACAAGGATTATTCGATACCCTAATAAAAGTACTCACTTTTTTCATAATATCGGACCCTTATATTTTTCGGCTATTTTTTAGATATATTTCTTTCTTTTAAATACATTTATCTATTTTTATTATAATTTTATTTTTATGATCAATTTATAATCATGTATTAAATTAGCTCAATTAATTATTACTAATAGAGTGGTTAAAATATTTACTTAAATTAATGAAAATCGTTGACACAGATAAAAATTCAATTTTTTTTGCTCTTTAAAAATGTACTAATTTAAAATATAATTGAGTATTTATTAAAATTGAATATATTTGATTAATTTATTCCATAAAAATTATATTTCTTCGTTATCAATTAATTTTTTAGATTAAATTAAATATAACCTGAAATGTATTTATTAAATTGAATCCAAATATAAAGGCTAAATTAAACTTTTAAAATTATATAAATTAAATTTAAATAAATTTATAAACGGTTTTTTTCAACAAAAAAAAATGTTATTAGACATAATTATATGTTTAGCGAAGCCGTTAATTTAAATAAATTTAAATTTTATTTCTAATCAAATTCTAAAATATTTATTACGTACTAATTCAAAAGTTTTAAGAGACTAATTTTTTATTTTAATATATAAAATTTAAAAAAAATGCCTAAAATTTACATGGTCTGTTGGCCTGTCCACAGCTTAAAATTGGTCAAAATTCAACCACGTAGGCAGCAGCTTTTATCGTACAAATTTGGTCAAAATTCAGCCACGTAGGCAGCAGTCTTCAACCACGTAGGCTGCCGCTTTTATTATACAAATTGCTGACTGTAATGGGTCCCACTGCTAAAACCACTCCTAAAGAACAATAAATGAAAGAGCAAATGCAAATATAGATATTTGTCTATAATAAAATATATCTGAATATTCTTAACACCCACAAGTTCTAACAACAAAAATGTTGACGAAATGGATTCCTATACAAAAAAGTAGTTACTTATTATTGTTCGGTTACAAATGTAAAGTCGTCTTAGCTGATTTGACTTGATGTCTGATAAGTTCGGACCCTCTTTGAAAGAGTAGTATGAATTATGCATGCTCTATGGCCTCTACATGTGTCGTGTTTTGTGATTGTTTGATGTGTATTATGTTATGTTACGCTATGTTATAAGTTGTACCACAAAATAATTATGTTATGTATGGATCTTGTTGTGAAATCGATGTTGTATGTTGTACGAAACCTCTGTATATTATGCCACACGGTGTGCTAATATGTTCACTTCATGTTTATGAGAAACTGTTGAGTCACGTATGTTATTCATGAATGTTATGTTGATGAAAAGAATGAATATGAGGATTTCATGCATTTTTGTATGTCATGTTCATCATGATACTTCCCTATTAGGTTTAGTACGAACGTGTACACTATGATATTAGGTACACCATGATATTATGCGCACTACTTTCTCCCGCGACTTTTCCAGCAGTGTGAGTGAGTTGAAGGCTAGGTCCAGGGGTACGTATACAAGCCTGCCTGTAGGTCCATGTACACATGCATGAGTCGTGTGTAGAGAAGTATTACGCATCCAATTTGGCTCGGATTAGAAAGTAAAGACTAGGACCGTGATGTTTTGTGAAAGGATAGGTTAATAAAAATTTTCTTTTTACTCGCTAAAGTCCAAAGTTTAAATTTCCATACCTCACATTAATTATTACTCGTAATAAAATTGATTAGTGGTCCCTAGGTCGTGGGAATACCTTAACAATTTAAACTTAATAACTTCTCGAAGAATCTAGAAACGCGTTACGAGCGTAACTAAACGAGACAAATTTTATATATTTGGGTTTATTAAGAGCAACGGTAATTATTTTATTTTCCAAGAATTTAAATTTTAAAGCTAAATTTGATATTTCTAAGCCTCAAACGACGTCGTTTATAAACCGACAAGAAATAAGACAAAGCCGCAGACAATAATAAAAGAAAGCTGACAACCACAAAAAACAAGAAAAAAAACTGTATTGTTTTTTATATTTAGCCCCTCATATTAATTTTAATTTTTTTTTATCTTTCTTTTTAAATATATTATTTTAACAATAAATAAAATAAAATATTTAGACTATTAATTATTTATCCTTGAATTATGCTTAAATTAATTTTTTTAATATAATTTAACGAACGAAAAACTTATACTTAAGTATAACTTAAACGAGGTCGATACTCTCGACGTAAAAATAAAAAAAACTTATTAATTTATTTAATAGAGTTCTGATAAAGCTTTTATCATAAACTTAACATTAAACGCCAATAATTTAATGAACTAAATTATATTGTTATTCGTGATATTTATGATGTAGGACATATTTTTATTTTATAAATAAATGCTCTTTTTTCTTTTAATTTTATTAAGATAATTAACTATACAGAAAATTAGATAAAAATATTTAAAAATTGTGGGCTGAAAATTATTTTAGAAAAATAAAAATAGTAAACTTTAAATTACATCGGCTAAATTAATAAAATATTTTTTATTTATCTCTAAAATATATTAAACTTTTGAAAAAAATTAAAAAGAGATTTAAAATTTTAAAATATACCAAATTAATTTGGAATAAAAATCATTAATATTTTGTTTTTATTTTAAAGTAAATGAATATATTTGAAATATGATAGTAATGTTGGATGAAAGTCTGACTTTAGTTAATTTAGAGAATGATCGTGAATTTATAATCAAGGAATACTCTCTCCATCTACGATATCTTTTGGGAAGCTTAAATCGAAGCTATGAGAGCTTATGCTAAAAGTGGACAATAACATACAATTATGGGTGGAGTTGTGTTCGTTTAACATGGTATCAGAGCCGGACACCGGATGATGTGCCAACCTTCTCGCTGTTCCCCGAAGGGGTAGACATGAGGCGGTGTGCCGCTGGGCTCCAAATGGGGTGGATTTGAGGGCGGTCCCACATCGATTGGAGGAAGGAAGGAGTGACAACGAGAACACTAGGCCTCGAATGGGGTGGATTGTGATGTCCCATGTTTGTTGTGGGAGGAGAATAATTGTGTTAAATATTTTTTAATTAAAAAAATTTACAGATAATTTTTAAGTTTTTAAAAAGTTATTAATGAAATTTTAAAAGCTTAAAAAAAAAAAAAGGTAAAAGATATATATTTTTGGGACAAAATTTCCGTATTATAAATTCTTCGAAAAACCTAACGAAGTAAAAATATAAAAACACAAATCTCTCATTCTTTCGTTCTCTCTCACCCTCTTTCCCTCTAGAAATGGTTGCCTCTGTGGAGCTTAGCTGCAAAATCCTCACCATTCCGCCGTCATCTTCTCATTCAAATTCCAAGATTTCTTCTTCTTTCTCTCGATTTCCGGTTCATTCCCGGCGATTTTTGCAAAATCCATCTCCGGTTTTCCGGTCGTGCGCCGTCACCTGCACTTTGACTAGGGAGACGTCTCTAGCAATGGAGGACAATAAAACCCAGAATCTGGGGCAGAGACCCGATTCCTTTGGGCGTTTTGGGCGTTTTGGAGGGAAGTATGTGCCCGAGACCCTAATGCATGCTCTTGCCGAGCTCGAAACCGCTTTCCATTCTCTTTCTGGAGACCAAGAATTTCAGGTTTTGGGGAATTTTGTTTTGTTTTGTTTTGATTTGATTTGATTTGTGACGCGTCTTCGTTTTGAGATTGTTTGTTTTATTTGTTATGATGGGTGAAGTTTTGTTTAGTGATTTTTTGGGTTTGGTTTTGCTTAACCAATTGATTGTTGTTTGAGGATTTTGAATCTCATGAATGCTTATTTGATGAATGGGTTTAAGTGATAATGATTTCATAATTGATTGCTTTTTCTGGGATGGAGTTCATTGGACTCTATTTGTTGCTTGAGGGATAATTGATGAAATGGCGTTTATCCGTCTTAGGATTGAGAATCTTGTGAGTGCTTGTTGTTTGAGTTT